GGTCAGCATTCAATTAGTTATTAAAAGCCTGGAAAGCAAGCAACATCTCACAGAGCACCAAGATTCGACTCTTTTACTCCAATGTCAAGTCTGTGCTCCTCAACGGCTGCGAAACTTGGAAGACAGCAAAGACAGTACTGAATAAAGTCCAGACTTTCATCAACAGATGTGTAAGGAGTATCCTAAGAATTAAGTGACAGGATAGAATAAGAAATGAAGAGCTGTGGGAAAGGACAGGACAGAAGGAATTAGAAGTAGAAATATGACCTAGAAAGTGCAAATGGATGGGACACACATTAAGAAAGCCCAGAGGGAAACATCACAAGACAGTCGCTGCAGTGGAACCCACAAGGAGCACGAGGCAGGGGTAGGCCACGGGGAACACGGAGGAGACGTTTGGAAAGGGACATGAGAGAGATGAAGCTCACTTGGAACCAGCTTGGAAGAATGGCCCAGGACAGAGAAAAATGGAAGGAGCTTGTATGTGGCCTATACCCTGCCAGGGGTGGAAGGCATTGAATAATAATAATGATAATAACAATAATAACAATAATAATAATAATAATAATAATAATAATAATAATAATAATAATAATAATAATAATAATAATAATATGATGATGATGATGATGATGATGATGATGATGATAATAATAATAATAATAATAATAATAATAATAATAATAATAATAATAATAATAATAATAATAATAATAATAATAATAATAACAATAACAATATATGTGTGGTGCGCTGACAAAATGAGTTACTTCTCCGATTTTAGCCTTATGGAAATTGATACATCAACTTTATAGGTCCAGTTTGTACAATTTGTAAGTATGGAAGAATAGAAGACTCAGTAAACTGGAACAAAATAGCATCAATTAGAAATCCATAAATCTGACGGCAGTGTCGATTTTCGGCCGATATCTCCATTCTTGGACAGCGACAAGTAACTCATTTTGTCAGCACACCTCACATATGTTATTTATACGTGTATAGCACTCAACCCTGTTTAAATATATAGGCTCTGAGCGCTTTACAATACAACAGTAACGTATAGTCAGTGCACTGTGTTCTGACTAAAATAAAATGTCTCTAAGTATTATAACTCATTTTAACTAAAAAAAACAACAGAAATGGCTTTAATTAGCCGACGTTTGAATGAATTGAAAGATTTGATATCTCTTAGACTACCACGCAAAGCATTCCAGCTCTCAGGGTATGCAATTGCTCCGGATTTGTTATGTTGAGCCCTGCGACTATATGGCTAAAGTACAGTCCTGAAAACAGCTGGGCTGTAGGGCGTCAAGTTTATCTCCCGGAGACGGTTCCTCTCAGTTCTCGCCGAGATTGGTTTCAATCCAGGGATATCACGTGCAGTCCGTGATGCAGGACGCAATACCATTCCTGTACGTGTATTATATTAACTTGGTATTCCACGTACATAGACAATAATTTTAATTTCTCTACTCCCACACTCCCATTATTTTTATCAGCATTGCTTTTGGTAGTTTTTCGTTGTCTCATTTTTTGTGTAATTCCAAACTCTCTCCTTTCACTATTTTCCTACCAGAACCGTTTTTGTTGGTTCATCTTTGTCTCATTTTACATGTTTTTCCAAATTTCCCCCTTCTTCTCTTTCGGTAGTCTCCTTGTTTCCTCTCAAACATCCATCATCCATATCTCTTTTCCTTCTCTTTTTGTTTGCAACTCTCTTGTAACACCTCTAATCTTCGGCATTTATATGACCTAATTCTATTGCAACGCCGTCAAACTCTTAATAAAAACAGTCCATCACTGTCTCATTATATGTCCAAACTCGCTTCTTCCACTCCAATTGTCAACACCGTTTTCGGTTGTCTATCGTCGTCTCGTTGCGCGTCCAAAACCAGGCAGAAGATATTCGGAGACGCACTCCTGCACACAGACGCACTGTTTTTTTTTTTTTTTTTGG